TAAAAAGGATCTTTCACAACCACAATATCCCAGTTAACTGTAAACCAGGGAACACCCTGCGGCAGAGACTGGTCCACCCGAAGGACAAAACACCCAGACATAAACAGAGTGATGTGGTGTATGCAATTAAGTGTAGTCAGGAGTGCAACGACTTGTACATTGGTGAAACGAAGCAGCCGCTTCACAAACGCATGGCTCAACACAGGAGGGCCAACTCCAGTGGACCAGAGTCAGCAGTGCACCTCCACCAGAAGGAGAAAGGACACTCTTTTGAGGACAGTGAAGTCCAGATCCTCGCCAGAGAACATCGCTGGTTTGAGAGAGGTGTTAAGGAAGCTATTTTCGTAAAAATAGAACACCCCTCACTAAATAGGGGTGGTGGACTAAGACACAACTTGTCTTCCATCTACAACCCGGTTTTGAGATCTCTGCCCAAACATGCCCACCAGGACAATAGGCGTCGGTTGACAGGGGAGGATCCAAAGACAGGTAACGACTCTCACTGATACTGGGCTGGGCTGTAACGACTCAGTCGTTAATGGACATTGTTGGCCTTCTAAAGACTGAAACCACACCGAGGGGGATAAATATCTCCGACTCAACACCAGTCAGTCAGAACTGATGAAGCCTCTTGGATGAGAGGTGAAACGTCTTCAATCTAGAATTCCAAGTCCAGTTGATTTCCAAAGTTATTTTGGTTGCGGCCTGTACAGGAACATTCCCGGACATACAGTAACCTCAGGCCCTGTATTTTTCTCCACATCCTCTGGTCACAGTACAGCAGCAGGAGGTAAAATATATCCACAAAACTGGGCACAGTAAAAACCCCCAGCTTTTAAAATGGCACCAGTGGATGTCAGGCAAGTTTGCATGAACATGCAACTACCTGGATATGATGACCATTTAAGGAGATCCTTAACTATCACATAAGACTTAATTTTGTTAGAAAAAAAGTCTCACGAGCGAGAGTTTATGAGACTATAAACTGAGTTGCTTCTGCATAGAAATACTAGAACATACTTCAATTTTTTAGCTTTATGTCACATCTGTTGTTGTTCTACTTTCGGCTGTTGCCGTCAGAGGTCACCAGAGCGAATCACTTCTTTCCACATTGATGATTCGCATGTTATATTTGGCAAGTTTTTACACTGGATGCCCTTCTGACACAACCCTTCCTATTTACCCGGGCTTGGGACCGGCACAGAAGTCACTGGCTTGCAACCCCTGTGGCTAGCGGTGCCGTGACCGGGAACTGTAACATTGTAGATAAGCCAGAAAACAAGGAAAAGCGCCATGGGCTCTTTAAGAGGAAACTTTCTGTTTTCACAGGACAATTTCACATCTCAATGATAGCAGGCTCCTTCAGAGTGTGACTCAGGAAATATCAGGGCATTCTAATGTGTACTTTTGAAATTAAAGTTCTTCTAAAATGTCATATGGATGCTATATTATTTCTAAATTGAGACTGCGATTAAACTCAATCAAACTTTGTTTTCACAGGACCATTTCACATCTGAATGATAACAGTCTCACTGTGAGACTCAAAATATCAGGACATTTTAATGTAGAATTTCAAAATGAAAGCCGCCTAACATGCCATATGAACGCTCTATTAATTCTATGTTCAGATTGATATACAAATGAAACTTTCTGTTTTCACAGGATCATATAACATTAGTGGACCACCTAAGAGTATAACTCAGAAAATATCAGGAGATATTGATGTGATTGATTTTATGTGTTACAGCACAATCACAATGGTAGCTTTATCATGAAGTGACTTGACGACCTGCTACATCTGTGGAATTACAAACTGTAGGCGCTGATCAGTAAAACAGTTTCCTCCAGCCACACTTGTTCAGGAGGTGAATTAGCCGCTTGATGTGTTTCACTACCATCTTACATTCACTAACCTTCTGTCTCTGGCGTTGGCGCTTCTTGGAAGAAACAGGCTTATAAATCATATTCATCTACTATCCAGAGAATTGCACACAAAAACTGGTGGGACACACTAGGAAAATGCAGCAATGTGCCATATGAAATGCTGTGGATGTAACATTAACGTTCCTTTCAGTCAGATATCTTTTGCTATCGACCATCTCTAAATGTTTGCTGCAGAGAGCTCACAGTTTTAATGTTATCCAGTGATTTAGCATCACCTCTCAAGCTGAACCTAGTGAAGAGGATTTTACTGCAAATGTGAGGCCAGCTTCTGCAGAACAGAGCGACACTGAATAAAAACACCGTTTTCTACAAACATCACGATAGACAAGACTAACGTGTAAACATGGCAATTGTACACACCCAGGATGAAGAAGATGTAGTATAAAGTAAATAATAAAAATGACAAAAACTAGACTAAAATGTATTTAGTTTTTATTGACTAAAACTAACAAAATTTCAAAACTAAAATTTGACTAAAACTACTATGCATTTTCATCAATAGACTAAAACAAAATCAAATTCAGGTGTCAAAATTAACACTGCTGTATAGGCAAAATGTTTGGTAAGGTCATTTAAAGCCATTTGTGGCTAATGCAAATTCTTTTCTTTTGCTGTGTTAAAAAACAGAAATGGTGCCACCAAATCTAGCACCGGTCCTACCTTCTGAGAGACATGGTGGCACCAGTGCTACCAATATGAAATGTTGGGCGCGACTGGTTCAGTGGGTAGAGCAGTCGTCTCCCAACCAGAGGGTTGGAGGTTCGAATCACGGTGCCTGCAGTCCGTATGTCGACGTGTCCTTGGGCAAGACACTGAACCCCTCCAAGTTGCCCCCGATGGTTAAAGCCATTGGTGTGAGCTGGCGCCGCAGATGGCTGCCTGGGTTCTATACCGGAAACAAATTCATTGTGTGTAACATACTTGGCCAAATAAAGGTGATTAGATTAGATGTTAGTCTGGAGCCCGGCATATATTTGTGACTTAGATAAAAAGCAGGTAAAATTTTGACCAAGTAATGCAGAAAAGTAATTCTAAAGGACTGACCCTTTTTTTTGCTACTGTAATTACTATAAAATCATGGCCAAAAATATTGGCACCCCTGCATTTCTGTCAGATAACACACCACTTCACCCAGAAAATTGTTGCAATCACAAATTCTTTGGTGTTCTCATGTTCATTTCTTTTGTGTGCATTGGAACAAGACAAAAACAGAGAAAAAAGCCAAATACATGTGATCCATTCCACGCAGAACTCCAAGAATGGACTGGACAAAATTACTGACACCTTTTCAAACTCATCAGAAACAGTTGTATTTCCAGCCTGTGATGCTCCTTTAATTTGTAATGAAACTCACCTGTAGCAACCAACAGGTGCTGGCAACATAGAAATCACACTTGGAACCAGTTAAAATGGAGAAAAGTTGACTCAACCTTTGTGTGGTGTGGACCACACTGAGCATGGAGAAAAGAAAGAAGAGCAAAGAATTGTCTGAGGATTTGAGAACCACAATAGTGGAAAAGCCTGGACAGTCTCAGGGTTCCAAGTCCATCTCCAGAGAGCTGTGTGATTGCAGCGATTTTCTGGGAGAAGTGGGGTGTTATCTGACAGAAATGCAGGGGTACCAATATTTTTGAACATGACTTCTATTGACAGTTAAGGTATTAAACACATTTGTAAATAAAGTAAATAGTTTATCAAATGCTGTTCTAAAATCAGTCTGTTAAAGTGATGGCTTTCTGTCATTCAGGCATTGTTCAGTTTCATGTTTATATTCATCACTGCTTCATTCTGACATACCTACAACTGTGAATGTGTGCGTTACATACAGTACACAAGATTTGCCAAATGCACAAGATTGTTGGCGTGCTTATCTGTTAATGCGACTCTACGCAGTTCAGAACTGTGCTGTATAGAAAGTGATATGCAAATGTCACTAGGTCCAACCTATTGCCATCACAACTTTTACAGCGATGAGGGTGCTTATTCAGACATGAAGTCGACATGTTGAAACTGTCAGTTATATTGTGTCAGTCAGGTGTGTTAATTTCATTTTAAACTAGAATTACTGCTTTGCGCTTCTGTGCCTCCTCCAACCAGTCAAATTCATGGGAACGGGACATACATGAGGTCAATGACCTTGACCTTTAACCGCCAAAATCTAATCCCGTTCATAAGAATAGGACGGATGGACAGACAGACAACCTGAAAACATATTGCCTCTGGCTGTGGCTATCGCCTGAGCAAAGGAATAAAAACGTGTATTGTTTTACTGGCGTGTGCTTTCTCTTTGCATTATCAGTCTGAATCTGTTGCATGTTTACATGTATCCAGGTGTACATTGGGGAGCTTCCCCAGAGCTTCTTGAGGATCGCTCCAACCCAGCAGCAGCACCAGGTCCAGCTAGATGCCCAGGCAGCCAGGCAGTTGCAGTATGGAGGCTCAATAGGCACTGTAGGACGGCTCAGCATTACTGTGGTCCAGGTAAATATAGATCAGTTTTGCTGTTAAAAACTAGGTATCATTTGAATATTTCTTCTAATAACATGTAGAAGCATTTTATGAATGACAGAATCTTACATTTGTAGATTAAATTAGTTTTCACTCCGGATCACTGCCAGATAACCTCCGCCCACTGTTCTACTGCATCCTGCTCTTCCTATCCTGAGTTTTGACGTTACCCTCAGTCCTTTCCCTGTGCTATGGTCATTAGTCTGTACTCAGTCCCTGATACCCTGTTTTTATGGGACAACTAAAATGGTACATGCTCAAATTAAAGACAGGGTGATCAGTTTGAAGTTGGAAATTGAAGGGGTAATGTTGAATGTAGTCAGTAGTTATGCTCCACAAGTAGGCTGTGAGTTAGAAGAGAAGGAGAGATTCTGGAATGAGTTAGATGAGGTGATGGAGAGTATTCCCAGAGGGGAGAGAGTGGTGATTGGAGCAGACTTCAATGGGCACGTTGGTGAGGGGAACAAAGGTGATGAGGAGGTGATGGGCAGGTTTGGTGTTAAGGGAAGGAACCTAGAAGGACAGATTGTGGTGGACTTTGCTAAGAGGATGGAAATGGCTGTAGTTAACACCTATTTCCGGAAGAGAGAGGAACATAGAGTTACATATAAGAGTGGAGGCAGGAGTACCCAGGTAGACTACATTCTATGTAGACGAGGCAATCTGAGAGAGATTAGTGACTGCAAAGTGGTGGTAGAAGAAAGTGTAGCCAGACAGCATCGGATGGGATGGTGGTGTGTAGGATGACTCTGGTGTTGTTGGGCTGTCTTGGCTGACACACCTCTGCAACGTCGCATGGCGGTCGGGGACAGTGCCTCTGGACTGGCAGACCGGGGTTGTGGTCCCTCTTTTTAAGAAGGGGGACCGGAGGGTGTGTTCCAACTATAGGGGATCACACTCCTCAGCTTCCCCAGGAAAGTCTATGCCAGGGTACTGGAGAAGAGAATTCGACCGATAG